CGCAGTTTCACTGCTGAGACCCCCCCACCCTCCTCCCTCAGGACCTCGAAGTCGCCCACCAGCAGCTCCTCCGGTCACTCGCCGCGCAGGCTGCCCCGCTGGGAGAGCTGCCCTCCGTGTCCGGCCAAGCGTCGCCCCGGCACCCTCAGGAGGAGGCCCCAGACAGGGGGCGTCCTCTGCCCTCCCCACCGTCCCTGGCGCCCGCGGAGCCTGGTAAGAAGCCCCCCATCCCCGGGGTCCCCTCTCCCCCTTCCCCCCCCCCTTCCGACCCACCACCACCACTCGCTCACCCTCTTTTTCCTTCCAGGCCAGGCGGCCCTCCATGAAGACGGCCCCCGGGAGGTGACTCTTTAGCCACGGTGGGGGGGGGCGGGAGCTTTGGCAACGGAAGGAAGGGAAGCTCCCACCTTGGTGGGACCGGCCAGTTCGAGGAAGGCAGACGAGGCCCACCCGCCAGCCCACCTCCGGCCCTGGAGAGAGACAGTAAAGCCTAGGAGGCGGAAGAGGAGAAACTGGAAAAAGGGCTTCATCTCTTTTCGTCCAGGGGAGCCGTCCGGGCAGGCGGGCGAGGGAGACTTCCCTTGGCCTGATTTAAACTCTTCTGTGAGCAAGATCGGGGGTTCTCCCTGGCGGGGGCTTTCCCAAAAAGAGTCTCCTGCCCCCCCCCACGCCCGCCCCCGGATGGCTCCTTTTCTTGCTTTCAGGCCCGCACGGCTGGACCCCCCCCCAGGCCTTGCCCGCATGTCGGCCCCCTTCCCCCGGGGCGGGAGGGGTAAGGTCTCTCCCCGCTGGGCCAAATCAGGGGCGTGTTTGTGCAGCAGGCATAGGTGTGCGTCTGCACCACCGGCCGGCGTGCGTTCCTCCCCACCGGGCAGAGGAGACCCCACTCTGCCTCATTGCACTTTTGGGTTTGTTACTTTATTTTTTCGCCATGCTGAGGAAAGCAGGCCCTGCTCCTCCTCCCAGCCCCCCCCCAAACGGGCGCTGCGTCCAGACCTCCTAAAGCAGATATAAATATGTATGTATGTATGTATGTGCGCACTGAGTAACTGTAAATACGATAGGCTGTTGTTACCGTTGTTGTTGTTCTTGTTCACTCGACTTCCCGCCCTGCCGAGCCTCTCCAGGTCATCGGACAAGCCGCTGCCGGAGCCCTGGCGCCAACGGGGAGGCTGGCTTGGATCGGGCCCCATTGGCTGGGTCTTCTCAGGTTTCCCCTCCCTGACCAGCCTGAGAGAGGTGCCCGGGGGGGGCAGGCGCTCTGGGCTGGTGGGTGGGGGCCCCCGAGTCAGTCTCCCAGTGGCTCGTTTGGGGAGGGGGCAACCCCCCCCTCCAGTGTAACCAGGCCTTGGGAGGCAGAAGGGGGGGCGCTTGACCATCCCTGCCCAGGAGCGAGGCTGGCACCCTCTTT